GCAGGAGGGCCGCCCTGCTGTCGGTGTCGAGACCGGCGCGGGCCCCGCCTTGCGCAGCCTGAGGGCGGCGGAGTGGAGCTGGGGGCGCTGGTTTCGCTGCTGCGCGCTGGGCTCGCGGCGAAAGCGCTGTAGCTGTGCGCGCCGAGTCCTGTCGTACGCAGGGGGCGTTTCTCTGGGATAATGCTCGAGTTGGTGCCGGGCACCGGCGCGATCCAGCAGTGAGTACGGCTTTGTGTGCAGGCGGGAGGGAGGGATTAACCGCACTGTACGGTTGCACCAGGCGGATGCGAAGGAAACAGCACCTGCTGCTTGCGGCGCGCCGGTCTTCGCTGAACGCTCTCGGGAGAGACCTGGTGTTTTCGGGCTTGCTGTGTGCTCGGGCTGGACTTCCAGCTGCCGGGCCTCCGACCTCAGCCTCCTGGGGGTTCTGTGATGCCCTCGAAGCCAGTGGTCCTGACCCCGAGCGTATTTGCCTTAATAATAGCATTGATTCGTTAATACCTAAATTCTTTACTGCTACTCAAAACTTAAGTGTTACGTACTGATTGTTAAGGATGAGATGGTGACATGTACAGACTGCCTGTAGACTACGGTGTCACTGGGCAGAACAGGTATCAAATAAATAAACGACAGTAAGCTCAGGAAGCCGAGATAGAAGCTAAGGAAGAGTCTGAGAAAATGTAATAGGGGAGACTGTCGCCGGCTGGGGAAGTCGGGGGAGGTTTTCCTAGGAAGGTCGTCTTTGAGCTGAAGTTTCGGTGGGTAGTGAGAGTCAGAAGTTTGGCTGCTAAGGGAGAGGAGGGACCAGGCAAAGGAAATGAGTCCCCAGAGGCTGGGAAGATGGCCATTTCAGGGACTCAAAGGGGCGGAGCAGCTGGAGCATGGAAAGCAAAAGGCATCTGTGATAAAGTAACTCAGGGCCTGAGGATGATGTGGGTTTTTCAGCAAGGCTAAGGATTTGGTACCCGCCTCCTCCCCTAGCCTGGCCTCCAGCTCACACCTCAGCCTCCCACAGAACCCATGGTACCCTGCTGTGCAGTCTGGGGGTGGGTGTTGAGATGAGGTCTCACTCTGTACTTCAGGCTGGGCTTAAACTCACTGTGTGGCCCAGGCTGGCCTTGAACTAGTGGCAATCCTCCTGACTCAGCCTCCCGAGTTCTGCAGTGACAGGAGTGCCCCACAGCTGGCGCAGTTTTTAAAATCAAATTCCGGAGTGGGGCAACGGTGACTCAAGCCAGTAATCCCAGCAGTTGGGAGGCCGAGGCACAAGGATCTCTGAAAGTTGGAGGCCAGCGTGGGCTACACAGAAGACCCTGTCTAAAAAAAAAAAAAAAAAAAAATCTGTGTATGTTAAAAAGACTATCTTCCAAGTAGTCTAAATTTATTTGAATGAATTTTCCTTTTATTGGATATGTTCCCCAAAGCTCAGTCTGTTTTGCTTTTTTGTTTTTTCTAGAGGCTCTCACTGTGTAGTTCAGACTGGGCTGTAGGCTGACCTCCAACTGGCTGTAATCCTCCTTACTCCTGCCTCAGCCTCCCAATTACAAGTGCGCCTCCACACCCAGCCTAAAGCTCAGTCTTTTCCATCTTCTGACTGGTTTTTATAACCCGCAGTTGTTGGAAGTAAGTGGGATAGTACTTGATAAGGTAATTGATAAACATATATAATACAAATGTAAGGTGAAAGAAATTTGTTTTTCAGAACAGGTATTTGCCTGCTGGCCTCTTTTATGTGCTGACTTAGGTCTGTTTGTGTCATATGACATACATTTGTGGAAGCTCATTGAGTTGCTATACGTAAATTTTACTGTTTGTACATTGCTTTTATGATAGGAAATACTTAATGGCAACTATGTCTGCATTGTACAATTAATTTTATTTCATAATTCTATGCTGTATTTTCCCAGTTAGTCTGTGAACCTTCTAATAGAGACTGCCGTACTGACACTTGTATATATTAGCTCTACACCATTGCTTTGCACACAGTGGGAGCTTCACTAAGCATATACATGTTGTTTAGTTAATAAAATCCAAAGTAAAATTTCATAGCCATGTAAAAATTATGACTTTTTTGGTGGTGCTGGGGGTCAAACCCAGGGCCTTGCACACGCCTGGCAAAACCTCCACCACTGATCCCCTAAAATTATGATTTTTATGATTTTCTGAAGGTGTAGCTGGGCATGGTGGCACAAGCCTGTAATACCAGCATCCTGGGAGGCTGAGGCAGGACGATTACAAGTTTGAACTCAGCTAGGCCCTGTCAAAATAAAAAAGGGCTGGCGTTGTAACTCAGTGCAAAGGCCCTGGGCTCAATTCCCAGTATCACACACAAAGTTTTACTGAAGTTGCTTTTCTTTTGTTTTGTTTTTGGTACCAGAGATTGAACCTGGAACTTTCGCTTACAAAGCAGGCAGCAGCACCACTGAGCTAAATCCCTGGCCCTTGTTTGTTTCTTTGAGGCCAGGTCCTGCTATGTAGTTCAGGTTGGCCTTGAACTCACTGTTGTACCCCAGGCTGGCCTCAAACTGATAGCGATCCTCCTGCCTCTGCTTTCTGAGTTCTGAGATTACAGGTGTCCAGCCTGAAGATGTTTCTTACTGGTCACTGTTAGACATATGGTGGAGGGAGGAGAAAAGAGCATGACGTGATTGTTCTCTCAGTATCCCCTTTAGTCCCCAGAGTAACCCTATGAGGAGAGCAAGTATCTCCATGCTGTGGAACTCAGAGAAGTTAAATAACATGTGCAAAGTCACTCAGCTCCAAAGCGGTATGACTAATATTCCAGGACACAGCAATTTGAATTTAAGGACTGTTCTATTTTCATTCTGTTTTACGGTCGTAAAACATAAAAGCAGTTTATCAGCTTGTAAGTATAAAATGATGAAAAAATTATTAGCAGTTCACTGTTAAAGGGAAACCGTGTGATTTCTTTTTGGCGTGGGGGTGGGGTACCGGGGATCAAACTCGGGTCCTTGCGCTTGCAAGGCAGGTGGCGGAACCACTGAGCTAAATCCCCGGCCAACAGTGTGATTCTTTAAGGATGGATGGCTACTTTTTGCATTTGATACACACTGGAGAAGAAACAGAAGATGTGTGAGTCACGATACATGTCCCTAAGGATATTGGACCTAGTAGAAAGAGATTTAAAACAAACAATAATCAGTCATGTGTAGTGGTCCTGTGTAGTGGGAGGCTGGGGCAGGAAGATTGCTGCAAGCTGGAGGCCAGCCTGGGCCTCGTAGTCTTCTTGTTTTGTTTTATTTTGTTTTTTAAGAGATCTCACTATGGCCTTGATCCACTGCTAGCCCAGGCTGGCCTTGAACTTGCTGCAATTGTCTTGTCTCAGCCTCCTGAATGCTGGAATTACAGGCATGTGCCACCACATCTGGCTACATAATGAATTGAAGGCCAGCCTCAACTACATAGGGAGACCCTGTCTCCAACAATAGAGTCTGGGGATGTAGCTCAGTGGCGCTGCACCTGCCTGACAATCACAAGGTCCTGAGTTCAATCCCCAGTACCGGGAAAAATAAGTGGGGGGGATATTAATAAAGATTTAATACTTCATCTTTATTATGGAAATTATTTTCCCCCTCAGTATTGGGGATCTAAACCAGAGATGCTGTACCCCTGGAATACATCCTCAGCCCTTTTTTTTTCATTTTGAGACAGTGTCATTAAATTGCCCAGGGCAGCCTTGAACTTATCCTGCCTCAGCCTCTGGAGTAGCTGGGATTACAAGTATGTACCGTACCACCACTGAGGCAGGAAATGGGTCTTGATCTAGGACTTGAAAGATACTTGGAATTGAATAGATAGAAGGATGGCTACAGTGTGAACTGAGAAGTGAATGTGTTGTATAAACTAAGAGCTTTAGAAAAGACTTGAAAGTTTTCAAAGTGTATATATTTATGGGGTACAGTGTGATGTGTGGATACCTGTATCAGAACTGAGTGGCATATCCATCACCAAATGACTATCAGTTCTTAGTGGTGAGAATATTTAAAATCTATTTGAGCTATTTTGAAATAGCCAATATATTATTATTAATTGTAGAAGATTATTTTGAATTAGTTGATAATAATGTTGGAAAATCATTAAATGAAAGCAAGTATCCCAATCAGAATGTAGTGTCTATCAATACTCAGATTTTTTTTTTTTTTTTTTTGGTTTTTTGAGACAGGGTCTCTCACTATGTAGTTGAGACTGACCTGGAACTCACTGTGTAGCCCTGTTCTCGAACTCACAGAGATCCTCCTGCCTCAGCCTCCCTAGTGTTGGGATTACAGGCGTGCACCACCACACCTGACTAATACTGAGATTTTTTTTGTCTGTTTTACCCAGTTTGTATCCTAAACACCTAGAATCTTGCCTGGTATATCAGGTGCTGAGTAAATACACATTTTATGTTTTATTATTTATTTAGGTGTATTTTTGAGACAGGGTCTTGCTTTGTAGTTCAGGCTGGCCTTGAATTTACTGTGTAGCCCAGGCTGACTGTGAGGCTGACTGCAAGGGTCCTTCTCCTGCCTTGGCCTCCTGAGTGCTGGGATTACAGGCCTGCGCCACTGCACCTGGCTTGTTTCTTTTTTGAGTCCAAGGTGACCTTGAGTTTACTTTGTACCCAGACCCGAAACCTGAGATTTTCTTGCCTAAATCTCCGGGTAGCTCAGTTTTGTTTTTTTGTTTGCGGGGGTTTTTGTTTGGTTTTGGGGTTTTTGTTTGTTTTGTTTTGGTTTTGGTTTTGTTTGGTTTGGTTTGGTTTTTTGAGACAGGGTCTCACTATGTAGTGAGGCTGACCTGGAACTCACTATGTAGCCCAGGCTGGTCTCGAACTCACAGCGATCCTCCTGCCTCAGCCTCCTGAGTGCTGGGAATACAGACATGCACCACCACGCCCAGCCTGTTTTGGGGTTTTTTGGAGGTAGTATCAATTCAGGCTGTGTAATTCAGGCTGACCTTGAATTCACCTGTGTAGTACAGGCTGGCTTCAAACTGGTAATAGTCATACCTCAGCCTCCTTAGCACTGTTTCATTTTGAGACAGTGTCATTAAATTGCCCAGGGAAATTTAATTTAGACTTAATTTAATTTAAACTTAGCATTATACGCATATGCCACCATGTCTGGCTTTAAAATGGTTTTTAATGAAAAAAATTTATACACACACACACACACACACACACACACACACACACACACACAATTTCTTTTGGAGATAGGTTTTTGCTCTGTAGTTCAGACCTGCAATCCTCTTGCCTTCCAAGTGCTGGTATTAGAGGCCTTTACCACTACACCTGGCAACTATCCTACCTTCATTCCTTTAAAATCTTGTGTGTGACATTTTGGTATAGATTTCAAATGTCTTCTGTTTTAATCATGTCTGATGTGTCTGGTTTTGGTATTTTATGGAGGGAAGTTGGTTGTTTGGCTGTTGTGCTGGGCATTGAACCCAGCCAGAGTCTTGAGCGTACTAGACAAGCCCTCCACTGAGTGGCATCTCCTCTACACTGTGGCTGTCTTTTATGGCCATTATTCCTACCCAGGCTACACCCAGTTTTCCTGACTCAGAATTCCCAGAACTAAATTTCATAAATACTTGCTTCCTCTGTTAAGTTCTAGGCAGTAACAAATTTTATTCTGTAACAACCAGGACAGTGGTGGCGAACCGTTGCAGGCATGCCGCAGCAGGCTGTTTATATCATTGAAAGCTCTAAAAGGTCCGCCATCTCCGAACTAGGGTATGAGGAACACCACCTAGCAAACGAGCAACATGTGAGTTGGTGCTCCAGCCAAGTGGGCTGTGGTTTCAGGCCCCACTTAATTAGCCACAGGAAGCTGGGACGGCAGGGCCTAAAACCATCTGGGTGGCTGTGGGAAAGCCACACCTTGGTCCTCTGTGTCTTGGATTACAACTACCTCCAGACACATGGGCCGAGAGCAGCAGACTGTTTCTAGTGTCCATTTTCAGGTTCTCACTGCTTCCAGGTGGATCTGGTGTCTCAATGGAGTCACTGAGCAGATCTGCCTTCTCCTTAGATTTGCTTGACAGGTGCTTTTCTTCCTGTCGGTAATGGGGATCAAACCCAAGCCCTCATTTATATGCACAGACCAAGTACTTTGCCACTGAGCTATATCGCAGCCTTCCCTCTTTTTTTAGTTTTATTTTATTTTAGACAAAGACTTGCTAAGCTGCCCTGGCTGGCTTTGAATTGTGACCTCCTCCTTCAGCTTCCCAAGTAGCTGGGATGGTACTGAGTTTTGCTGTGTCAGTTTAAAGTTTAATTTCAAAATGTTAGGAAGTCATTGACTTTTTCTATATTCATCTTAGTTGTGTTTTACTCAGGTTAGTAAGCCCCAGGTTAGATAGAACAGACAAATTTTCCTCACTTGAGTTTAAATAATTGATTAATTCGTGTAACAGGCAGTTCATAAGTATTCCTTGTTTGACGCCACGTTACACTTCCACGAACCACTAAAGTTTTCTCAGCCCACGTTGCTGTTAAGCCATGAATCAGCTAGCTGTCTTATGGAGCTTTTCAAGCTGTCCTTGCAAATTTTAGATATAATAGATACTCTCAATTCATCACTTTAAATTCATAGTTACTCATCATAGCTTCGCATAATTTAGAGAGGCACATCATTTTTACCAAGGATCCAGATCTTTAGAATAACTGCCAATCTTAAATTATTGAAAGTAATTTTCTGCTGGGCATGGTGGCGCACACCTGTAATCCCAGCACTGGGGAGGCTGAGGCAGGAGGATCACTGTGAGTTTGAGACCAGCTGGTGAGTTCCAGGTCAGTCAGTCTCAACTACACAGTAAGACCCTGTCTCAAAAAAAAAAAAAAAAAAAAAAAGAAAGTAATTTTCTAGTTTGTTTTCCACCTAGCCCCCAAGTAGCTGGAATTATAGGCCTGGGCCACTGAGTACAGCAAGAATCGTTTCTGATAGAACAAAACCACTGCCTTTGAAAAAACAAAACTACTGCCTTTTAAAAGGCTGATCAAATGCCTGTGTGGTGCCTGGGGATGTATATGTTTCAGGGTCTCACAGTACCAGGCCGGACTTTGAACTTGTTGGCCCAAGAGATCCTCACAGCTCTGTCTCCTGAGCAGCTGGATCTGACAGGCAAGCACCACCACACCCAGCCTTTATGGTTTTGTTGTTGTTTTAATCTGTAGCCATAGTCGTGGTGCATTCTTTGCTTTTTCCTAGAGTTTATCAACCTCACACTTGACATTTGGGCAGAATAATTTCTTGTGTGGGCAACAGAACTCTTCTGCTCTACTTGTGACAACCAAAAACATCTCCAATTTTTGCTGTTGTCTTCTGAGGAGCAGTTACTTCCTGGTTGAGACCAACTGCTTTATCCTTATACCATAGTTTTTTGTTGTTGTTTTGTTTGTTTGGTACTGAGAATCGAACTCAGGACCTTGCGTTTGGGAGGCAGGTGGCAGCACCACTGAGCTAAAATCCCTGGCCCCTTATACCATGGTTTTATGCAAGATAATATTATGGTTGTTTTGTTTTTGGTACCAGGAATTGAACTCTGGGACTCGCTTGACAGGCAGGCACAGTGCCATTGAGCTATATTCCTGGCCCAATTTTTTTTTAAGATACCATCTCACTAGGTAGCTCAGGTTGACCTTGAACTCATTATGTAGCCGAGGCTAGCCTGGAGCAAGTGAACCTCCTGACTCAGCTGCCCAAGTGCTGAGATTACAGGTGCATGCCACCATGCCCAACTTATTCACGCTATTAATATGGTTACTCAGAGGTACTTGAAGTTGTTTTTAAGATTTGGATCTAAAAATGCCCTCCCATCGAGGCGTGGTCATGCACCCTGTATCTCAGCACTGTGGGAGGCTGAGGCAAGAGGATCACTAGGAGTTTGGGGCCAGCCTTGGGCTACATAGTGAGTCCTAGATCAGCCTGAGCTGCATAGTAAGACCCTGTCTCAAAAAAAAAGTCCCACCCAAAAAGGTTCTTGTGTTATAGTTAGGGCTTTTGAAAGGGGATTGGGTCATGAAGCTCTGACTTGATCTGTGAATTAATCCACTGATAGATTCATAATCCAGTGGCATTATTGGGGGGTAATGGAAACAGGAGTGGAGCTAGATTGAAAGGGCAGGTCATGGGGGCATAGCCTTCAGGACCATATCTGTGTTCCCAGACCCTTCCTCTCAGCATACTAGGCAAACACTCTACCACTGAGTTGGATCCCAGCCCTAAATTACTGTATTTTCTTCTTCTCCTCCTCCTCCCCTCCTACCCCCTCCTCTTCCTCTTCCTCGTCCTCTTTCTCCTACTTCTCCTCTTCCTCCTCCTCCTCCTCCTTCTTCTCCTTCTCCTCCCTCTCCTTCTTTTTTTCTTCGTACTGGGAATTGAACTCAGGACTTTGAGCTTACCAGGCAGGCGTGGTACCACTGAGCTACATCCCTGGCCCCTATAAATTACTGTATTTTTGAGTTACTTGGCATCATATCTTTCTTTGTGATTCTGCCACCAAATCTCTATTCAATTTCGGTTCCATTTATCTTATTTTTACTGTCAGTATTTAAGGATTTTTGTTTTATAAGTTATGAAATATTTATATGGTTACAAAGTTCTATTACAGAAGAAAAATATTCAAATGACAGTTGGTAAGAGATGATAGGAAAATTCTACTCAGGGATTGAAAGTGTGGCTATTTTGATAGACATAAGGACTTTGGCAAAGCTGTTTTGTTGTTGTTATTATTGTTGTTTTTGTCTTTGATACCAGGGATGAACTTGGGTCTTTGCGCTTGCAAGGCTGGTGGCAGAACCACTGAGCTAAATGACAAAGCTGTTTTTTCTTATTGCTTATTTCATAGATGAAAATGACAATTTTGAGTTTGGTCACATGTTCCTAAGACGCTCTTAGTGCTATGTTAGGACTACATAATTTGTAGTTAAAATATATTGATATAAAAAAGTAAGTTGATATGTACATAGGAATGAAAATTCTAAATTGAGAACTTTAGCTTTTATTTCTTTTACAGTAACAAAGAGAATGAAAGAAGTAGATAATCTTGAAAGTATAAAAGAAGAATGGTAAGTTGATCTAAACTCTGAATTTGTTAGTGCCTTTGTTGTTGTTTTGTGTGTTTTGTTTTTGAGACTCATAGCGATGTCCCTGCCTCAGCCTCCCAAGTGCGGGGGTTGTAAAGTGCCTTTGTTATTATCTTTCTTTGTTTTTTTTTGCATGTCACTAGTGGAAATAGTGAAATAAGTTTTTTGGTAACTTTTAATTATGTATAACTACCTCAGGAAAGACTTAGTAGTAATATTTTTTTAATTAATTTTATTGGTACATTGTAGGTATACAATATAACATTCATCATTGGAAATTTGTACCTTTATATAGTCTGTCGTGGTTATAGTAAGTTTTTTTTTTTGGGTGCCGGGGATTGAACTCAGGCCCTTGCACTTGTGAGGCAGACAGCAGTACCGATGAGCTAAATCCCCGGCCCTGTAGTACCACAGTTTGAAGTGTTTTTATCATAGCTGGTTGTAGTGAAGGTACTCAGTGTTTTAATTAATAAAAAATTACTTCTGTTCACACATTATCTCTGGTGAGAAGTTTATTTCATTAGCTTCTTGAGCTGTACTTGCAGGAGACTGGCCTGCTAGGAATGACTAACCAGAGGGAACAAATGGAGATTAAAGACATAGACACAGTTGGTTTAGAATGAAGGAGTCGGGGCTCTCGCCTCTGGTGGACACAGAGCGCTGGGCATTTGGCTCAGCTCGCTTTTGTTCACTTAGACAAGGGAGCAGGCAACAGGTTAGTGGGAGATTCACCTGCTGCTTGTTCCCCATAGCATGCACCCGGGGCCGTCCTGATCTCAGCGGCACTGACTTCTCTGGGACCTGCGTCGTGCCAGCGTGCCTTCGTGTTGCCAAAGGAGGGACAGCTTGCTGCTTTTCTCTGTTGTGCCCTGGTCCTTATTGTCTGGTCTCCTGCGGTACTCCTTGGGGTTGTAGTAGAAATAATACCGGCTTTGGAGTCAGATAAACCTAGGATTGAATCCCATCTCTGCCTTCTATTTCATCTCTGCTCTATGGGTAACTTACTAGATTCTTTGGTTTTCCATGTATTATATATAAAAGGGGATGTAAACATGTATGTATCTCAAAGATTTTTATGAGAATTACATAGTAGAAGTAAAGTATTTAACATAGTACTATATCAACAAATATTGGGCACTTAATGATAGGTGCAGAGTCTATGGTTTTTATCAATGTGGAATTTTTTTCTCACTTATCTGAGGTGAAATGCTGTTTTATACTCATTATTTTAAAACTTTGGTAAATTTATTTAAGCTGGCAGAGAACTATATACTTTATATTTACAAATGCCTTTTAAACACTCCTATACCCAACAAACGGTATTTATTATTTTTTTACTTGAGCTTTTTAAAAAATAAATTTGAGGGTCCGGGGATTTAGCTCAGTAGTTCTGCTGCCTGCCTCACAAGCTCAAGGTCCTGAGTTCGATCCCCGGTACCAACATAAGTTAATTAATTAATTAATTTGATAGTAATTTTGTGGTTGTGAGGTTGTGTTAGAGGTCTACAAGACACACCCCCAGTTTGATGAGTTGTTAGAATTTTGGTATTGATTTTTATTTTGTACCAGGAATCGAACTCAGGGCCTCACGCTTGCCAGGGATGAGTTGTTAGAAAGATTCACAGAATTGAGCATGTAGTCTTACTTGTAGCTGTAATGTACTACAATGGAGGGTGACAAAGTAAGGTCAACAAAGAGTAGAGAGCACGGGGTGTGGTACACGGGAAACCATATACAAACTTCTAAGAGTCCTTGCCTAGTAGAGTCACCCAGGATGTAGTTGGTTCCGTGTTTTTGTTTTTGTTGTTGTTTGAGTCAGAATCTGGCTGTCTTGAACTTAGGAGCTCCCTGTGATCCTCTAGCCTCAGCCTCCCAAGTACATGGGACTGTAGGCATGAACCTTCATTCCTGGCTGAGCCTGGGAACTTTAGGAAGCTAATCACATTTAAAATTCCAGCGTCTCATAAGGAAAGTAGGATTTCAATGTAAACCACATTGTTTATAGCAACTATTTAATTACATTGGGCCACTCTTATAAACCAGGGTGATGGTAATTGTCTTCGTCAGTTTTCCCCTTGCTGGGACAAAATATCCAATACCCACAATTTAAAAGAAGAGAAATTAGACTTGGTTTATGGCTTTTAGATGTTGTAACTGATAGTGTGGCTCCTGGGGAGAAATGGGCGTGGTGGAAGAGCAAGGGTAGAGAGCAGCTGCTCATCCCAGTGCAGCCAGGAAGCAGAGAAGGGAGCAGCGGGGAGGGGGGGCGCCCACCTCTTCAGACTGGACCCTGTCCCCTAGAAGCACTGAAGAGAAGGGAAGAAGCCAGGCATGGTGGTGCATGCCTGTGATCCCAGCACTTGAAAGGCTGAGGCAGGAGGGTCATCACGAGTTTGAGGCCAGCCTGTCCTGCACAGTGAGTTCAAGACCATTTTGGGCTACATAGCAAGACCCTATCTCAAAATACCCCAAAAAGGGGACCAGGGTGTTGCTCAGCAGTGCCACACCTGCCTGGCAAGTACAAGGTCCTGAGTTCCATCCCCAGTACCAAAAAGAAAAATTGCCATGGATACCAACATATTAATAACAATCCACTTACAGTGTTACACTCTGAGACACAATCGAGCGCAGGGATTTTTTTTACCTGCTTGTTTCCAGTAGGCTCCATCTTCTGAATTCAAATGTTCTATTTATTTTATCGGTACCTGGGGACTAAGCCCAAAACCTTTGCACTGAGCTATGTCCCTAGTCCTTTTTTAAACTCTTTTTATGAAAAGACAAGATCTTGCTAAGTCATTAAGTTTCCCGGTCTGGGTTCAAACTTATGATCCTGCCTCCTGCCTCCGCTTCCTCAGAATGCTGAGATTACAGATGTGCACTAGCCAGGCTATCCCTAGGTAGCCTGGGTTCAGTTCCTAGCTCTGCCTCCTAATAGATTTGTGACCTCAGGCAAATTACTTTTCTTTATCAGTAGAGATAAAAATAATACCTACCTTTTAGGGTCCCTTTGAAGATTGAATGAGTTGGCACATGTAGATTACCCAGGATAGTTTTTTCTCGGATATCATAGTTAGGGGCACAGTCTTGGGAGATAGATTAGCTGCAGGATAAGTGTATCTGCCTTATAGTTCCTGGCACAGTGTAAGAGTTAGAAGAATACTGATTATTGTTATTAACAAATATTTGGAGCTGGGCGTGGACAGCCCAGCCCGGTTTGCCTCAGGAAAACCATCCGAACAAAGCAAGCTCCTCCTAGAACACCAGCAGGCCAAGATCTTCCCCTCCAGCTGTAACAGTCTCCTTCCTGACCGCCGACTCAGTTCAGCTGGGCGTTGCCCTTGACCACTACTCAATCCACCACACTGTATTTCAGTCTTTTTTTTTTTTTCTTTTGCAGTACTGGTAATGGAGCTCATGGAGGCTCTGCCACTGAGCTAGAGCTCTTTGATTTTTTTATCTTGAGACAGGGTCTTGCTAAATTGTCCAGATTGGCCTCAGATTTGCCACCTTTCTGCCTCAGCTTTACAGGTAGTTAAGTTACAGGGATTTATCCCTGTGCCTGGCTTATACTTCAGTACTTTGATAATTTTCTGCATAGCTTTTTTTTTTTTTTTTGGTATGGGAATCATATCAGGGCCTCGTGCTTGCCGGGCAGCACCACTGAGCTCCATCCCCGCCCTGGAAGTTGCACTGGTCATCATACATCTTGCTTCTTTTTTCTCACTCCCCTCCCCTCCCTTCAGTCACTCTTCTCCTTTTTTACAGAAGCTTTATTTCCATTTTTTTCCTTGTATCCTTTTTATTTCTTGTCCCTTCTTTCATCTTTAGTTCCAAGTGTTCTTGTAACAAAAAAATACACATTATCCCCTTCGAAAGACATTGTTGCAGTAGGCGATGCGGCATCTCTACAGCGTCCTAGCCACTCACAGGGCTGAGGCTGGAGCATCACTTGAGCAGAGGGGTTCGAGAACAGCCTGGCAACAGAGCTGTTCATTTCAAGCCCCGCTTTTTTTGAGACAGTCTCACAATGGAGGCTGGCCTTTGAACTCACTGTGTAGCGCAGGCTGGCCTCAAACTCTTGGTAGGCCTCCTGCCTCAGCTTCCCCAGTGTTGGGCTAACCCGTGTGCTGAACCATACCTGGCTTTTGAGCCCTTTAAAATAATACAGAGGGGCCAGGGACTTAGCTCAGTGGTGGTGCCACCGCCTGCCTTGCAAGGGCAAGGACCCGAGTTCGATCCCTGGTACAAATAATAATAAAATAATAATAATAAATAATAATAATAATACAGGGGGAGCTGAGCTTGGTGGCACACACCTGTGATCCCAGCCCTCCAGAAGCTGAGGCAGGAGGCTCCATGTGAGTTTGAGTTCAAGGCCAGCCTGAACTATGCAGTGAGAGCCTGTGTCAAAACAACATAACATACAGGGCTGGCCAGCCTGAGTCACATGAGTTCAAGGTGGGCCTAAACTACGTGGCAAGAACTTGTCTTGGGAAAAAAAACAAAAGCAGGAAGGGACTTGGGGAATGTGAAAAGAATTTAGCTGTGTTATGTCTCCATTCCAGCAACTTGAGGCGAATGTGATTATTATGTACTGCAAACGTGCACTACAAAAATTTAAAAAGACGCCCAAATTCTGTACTCTGGACCAGTGGTTCTCTGTCCGGTGGGATTTTGTCCCCAGACAAATTTGGCAAACTAGAGAGAGATTTTTTTGGTTTTTCTAACCCTTGAGGTGGGTGGTGCATGTTACTGGCATCTTGTGAGTCAGGGCCAAGGACCCTAAAGATGTGCAGCACGGAGGCCCGCACAGCAGGGCAGCAGAGGTAACAGGCGACTCTGAACAGCGGGTGTGCGGGCACCATTTCATTTCAGCGTCCCTTCGTTAGAATTAAGATGGATTTTTATAGATCAGGCAGTCAGTGATGCACGTGTTTCTTTTTTGTTTAGGGTTTGTGAAACAGGACCTGGCAATCACCCACTTAGTGATACTCGACAAAGGAATTGTGAATATTTTGTTGACAGCCTTTTTGAGGAAGCTCAGAAGATCGGCGCCAAATGCTTATCCTCCGCTGAACAGAAGAAACAGGTAAGTGTGTGCAGGTGTTTTTCTCTCGCAGCATTTCTCAAAGTATGGAACTTTTAGAAGGTCTCTGAGGTCAAAACTTTTTTCGTAATTCTAAAGACATTTACATTTTCAGTGTTGACCTGGAATAGTTACTGCAAAAACAATGGTGAGGAAAACTGCTGGCATCTTAGCAGGAACCACGCCAGGGGCAACAGACTGAGCTAGAAATCACTGCGTTCGCTGCTGCTTGCACTTGTAAGGAGACGTGACAGCTGCTTTCCGGGAGGAACATCCCTGGTAAAGCAGTTTGGCCAAGTCCCAGACCTGAACGCGTCCTCGCAACCGGGACACAGGTGGCATTGCCCCAACACCCAGAGATGTCTTAAGGCGAAGCCCAGCTGTGTGAGGTAGAAACTGAACTGTCTGCTTTTCCTTGGCAATTTTTGCATAAGAAAGATGATTTATACTCAAGCTGTGGTGTACTCAGACTTGGATATTTCGCATCAGTGGCAGCCCTTCAAGGAAAACAACCTATAAATTTGTTGCAAACAATTAAATTTTACTTACCCAGCATTTTTAGTAAAAATAGTTATTTTGGAGAATTGCCATCATATACTTGACAACTTCCCAAAACTGGAAGAATTTCTTGATGAGACCAGTTTTAGTGAACATAACCTTTTATTGTACAATGAAATGTGCCAACATTTGGAAAATTCGCACAACTTAGGGAACCGTTTCCCAAGTGACTGGCACACGTGATTGAACTCACGCCGAGTGAAAAGGCCAAGGCAGCACACACTGAAGGGCTTTCCTGTAACAAGTGCATGAACAGGTCATGGGTAGGTGTCCAGCTTCACATCCAGAGTCTTGCTTGCGTTTTCTTTTTGTTTTTTGAGAATATCCCCATATATGTCATACAGGCCGGCCTCCAACTCATGATTCCTCCTGCCTCAGCCTTCCAAGAGCTGGGATTACGGTGGTAAACACTGCCACACCACCGTGTGACAAACACGTCAGTCCTGAGAGTGTCCTTGGAGATTCTGGCAGGGTCTTGGTGCACCGCTGATGGGAGGTTGGTCCTCTCCAAGATTGTGTGTCGTCTCCCCACTCCCCCACTCTGCAGCTCAGAGAGAGACACACAGGGGCTATGGAGGAGGAAGGTGAGCCGACCTGGCCAGCCGTGTCCGCCAGGAGCGCTGATGGTAACGGGGCCACAGGCGCTGCAGCCAGACACGCAGCTCCCTGCCGTTCGCTTTCTCCAAGAGGCGGCTGTGCTGACGCGTCCTTTCGCAGGCGGTGATGCCTGCTGGAGTCCCGAGTGCTCTCCTCTGCCTGCCTTTTCAATTCCACTGTCTCCCAGTGTCTCCCCTTACATCACTCTTACGGAGCCGGTCTTGAGACAGCTTTATTAAAAAGTGAGAAAAGAGCACGTGGGGAACAGATGGGTAAAACTTTGCGAGGCAGAATTTGCCTGTATTCGGCCTTTGCACCTGCTTGACAGAACACCCTTCTGCTACCTGAGCCTTTGGGGCATGTTTCCTTCCTTTGAGATTTTAGAATCTCAGGGCCAGGGATTTACCTCAGTGGCACAGTGCCTGCCTGACAAGCACAAGGTCCTGGGTTCAATTCCTGGTATGGAAAAAAAAAGATTTGAGAATCTTCTCTTTACCCTAGTGTTCTTAGCACCTTCCTGTGAGTCCTTTTTCATTTGTTCAAACCGGAGATGTACCACTTACGGACATTTTTAAATTTGTCTGTCTTGTCTGTCTATCTTTGAGACAGGGTCTCACTTTGTACTTCAGGCTGGTCTTGGACTCACTGTGTAGCCCAGGCTGACCTCAAACTTGCAAAGATCCTCCTGCCTCAGCCTCCTGAGTAATGGGTTGGCAGGTGTGCACCACCATTGCCTGGCAAAGAACATTTTTTTCATTGCAGTTTTCCTTTCATCTGTTGCTTGTTTGTCTAAAAAAGTTCTTCCTTAGATTTGGACCTCTTGGGCTGAGCATCCTGATTTCTTATTTTTTTTCCCCCTATTTTCTGCCTCTTTTTTTGTTTGTTTTACTTTGGGGGGTGGGCGTTGAGAAAGGGTCTCATCACTATGTAGTTCAGACTGTTCTGGAACTCACTGTGTAGCCCAGGCTGGTCTCGAACTCACAGCGATCCTCCTGCCTCAGCCTCCCAAGTGCTGGGATTATAGGCGTGTGCCACAACGCCCGGCTGTTTGTTTTACTTTAATTGGCATATTTCTTCAGCCTTATATTCAGTCCTTTAATTTTTTATGTTCAGTTTCTGGAGGTCGTACTGATTCTCTTTTTCTTTGTCTTCTCTTATCTGAATATATTAATGATCATTTGGAGAATTTGTTTTGAAATTTCTTTTCCTTTATGTGTTTTCCCCCCAGTACTAGGGTCTGAACACAGGGTCTTTACACTGAGTTATATGTCCAGCCTTTTTTTTTTTTAATTTATTTGTTTATTTATTTATTTATTTTGGTATTGGGGATTGAACTTGGGATGTTGAGCTTGCGGGGCAGGCAGGTGTTAGAACCACTGAGCTAAATCCCTGGCCCTAGCCCTAGTTTGTTTCATTTTTTTTAATTTTGAAACAGCATCTTGCCAAGTGGCTTAGGATGGATTTGAACCTGTAATCCTCCTGCTTCAGCTTCCCAGAGTGCTACCATTTACAGGTGTGAGCCGTCGCATCCACCTCGGTGTCTTAATGTTTTTTTCTGTATGCATGAATACAGTGAAAGCAGACTTGATAGAGTGATTACACACTTAAGGGTAATGCAGCTGAGTGTAGCGGCAATGCCTCTAATCCCAGGACTCAGGCGGCTGAGGCAGGAGGATAGTGAGTTTCTGGCTACCTCGGCTGGGTATAAGGCTTGAAGGCACCCTGGACTATGTAGTGAGACCCTGTCTTGAAAAACAAAAAGTCAGTGCAGTGTAGCGCTTAAGAGTGTGGAGTCAGGCTGGGCTGGAGCCCAGTGATGGAGCAGGCTTGGCCTGTGTGAGGCCCTGGGCTCAAACCCCACCACCCCAGTGAGGAAGGAAAGACTGAATTTTGGGTGCAGAGTCTGTGGGTTCGGGTCCAGCTGCACCCCTTACCAGCTTGTGGCAATGGGTAACTTGGTCGAACTTATGTGTTTGGTTTCTCCATCTGTAAAGAATCACAGTGCCTGTTTGTGCTGATGGTGAAAGGAGCCAGAAGCTCGGCCTGAGAAGGCCTTGCAAGCTCCCCCACCCCACTGTGCCTCTTAGAAGACGGACCGTAGTGTTTGTGTCAGGAAAAGGCCATGAGCGGAGCCTGGTGTGCACTGAGTGCGTCCGCGTGCGGATGGCAGCTCCTCCGTCTTCCCGACGCCCGGGCCATCCCTAGTACCCACAGTGCTCCTGCAGCGCGAGTCTTCGCCAGTCGGTCAGGGACCAGGACGGGGAGGCGAGGAGTGTGTTCCTGTGCAGGGTCAGATTTACCTTCCTCTAATGTCTGACCCGCGCTGGGCTGCGGACCTGGGGGCAGGAGTCCGTGCTGTGACTTTTCCCTGCACCTCAGTGGGCTGTGACGAGGCGCTCGGTAACGTGTGCTTCCTGGGATGAGGGTCTGTTTGGTCTGCTGTCTTCCTAAGGTTTTCCAGCCCATTCCCCCACGTCCGGCACGCGCCCTCCCTGCATTCTGCCTTGCGCTTCTCACCAGATGTCAGTCCACACTGTTCCTGCGAGCAGACACAGATAAGAACTACCGTGTGCTGGGATTTTGTAGAGGAGGGAACACCCATTAGTTAATTGGTCATAGTTGTTTGTTGGGGGAGGTGGTACCAGGGATCGAACTCACACCTTGAGCTTGCAAGACAGGCGGGGAGCCACTGAGCTAAATCCCTGGCCCTGGTCATAGTTATTGTTCTCTTTTGTATCTGATTTTTGCTTTGGGGGTTTTTTGTTTTGTTTTGTTTTGTTTACAATTTTGGGACTTGAACCCAGGGAATTTATTTTTTGCCTTTTCGAGAGGGGGTCTTGCTATGTAGACCAGGCTGGCTTGGAACTTACTATGTAGCCCATACTGGCCTGAAACTCATGGAGAGCCTCCTGCCTCAGCCTCTTGAGTGCTGGGATTACAGCACACCACCGCACCTGCTCAAAGGTCAAGGAACTTTGTGCACACATGCCTGAGTGTGTTCTGTTAGGATCGAACCCAGGGACTTAGCAGTGAGCTACATCACCAGGCTGAGCTAGTACTTGAGACCCTGCTACCTCGGCCACCCTGAGTACCAGAATTACAGGTGTACACCACCATGCCTGTCTTTAAAGGACTTTACTCTAGTATTCTGTTTTGTTAACATAATACAATTTTTTCTTATTTGCAGGTAGATGTAAATATAAAATTATGGAAAAATGGATTCACAGTCAACGATGACTTTAGAAGTTATTCTGATGGTGCAAGTCAGCAGTTTCTGAACTCCATCAAGAAGGGGTGAGCAGTCCGCACAGACAGGACATTTTAGTCGTGTTCTAACGTCCTCTGTTGTTATCCTGTGTCTTTTCTTTCTTTTCTCTCCCTACAGGAGATCAAACTGAGGACCTTGTGCTTGAAAGGTAGGCTCTGTGCCACTGAGCTAAATCTGGCCCACCACTATTTCTTTTTTAAAAAGTGAATTTACAAACAAAAGAGTATTTGTATGAATGTGTGGGAGTATGTGATCAACATTACAAAGTATCGGGGCCAGGGATTTAGCTCAGTGGCCCCACACCTGCCTTTCAAGCACAGGGTCCTGAGTTCGATCCTGGATAACAAAAAGAAGGAAGGGAGGGAGGGAGGGAGGGCAGTATTGGGAATTTACCCTAGGGCCTTGTTACTGAGCCACATCCCCAGCCCTTTTTTATTTTGAGACAGGGCCTCACTAAATTGCTAAATTGCCTAGGCTGGGCTCAAACTTGTAATCTTCCTATCTCAGCCTCCCAGAGTGCTGGGATAACAGGTGTTACCACCATATCTGGCTGAGATGAGTTCTGCTAAGGGACCTACTTCTTTTTGTTTTGTTGTTGTTGTTGTTGTTGCTTGAAACACTACATAGCCAGGGCCCTAAACTCAAAAGTGATCTCAGCCTCCCAAATTCTGGGATTATAAATCCGCACCCCAACTCGGCTTTCTTTTCTTTCCCTTTTGTTTTTGTTTTTGTTTTGTTTCTTGAGACAGGGTCTCACTACATAGCCCAGGCTGGCCTTGAACTTGTCAGTGTCCTCCTGTCTCAGCCTCCCAAGTGCTGAAATTATAGGAGTGTTCCACCACACCTGGCCCCTTTTTTAGCTTTATTTTGAGATAGGGTCTTTGTTAAGGAAGATAATGTGAAAACTTTTTTCATTCTCATGTTTGGTATTTTCCTTAATCGTTTCCAAAATAAATCTGTATTTTCATTTAAAAACTGAAATAAGAGCTTGATTTTTCTAGCACATTTCTAGTTCTAAGTAGGCATCTACAACAATGATCATATTGAGGCTGGGCCTGCTGGCATATTCCTGTAATCCCAGCCCTTCAGAAGCTGAGGCAGGAGGATCACTGCCACGTTCAAGGCCAGCCTGGACTACAGACCCTGTCAAAAAAAACAAAAATAGGGCCAGGGATTTAGCTCAGTGATGCCGCCACCTGCCTTATAATTGCAAGGTCTCGAGTTGGATATCCGGTACCAAAAATTAAAAAAAGATCAAATTGTTTAAATTCAGCAGCATATAGTCATCTAATATTCTAATGACTTTGGTGCTATTTTAGATACTGCTGTAAAAGTCATACAGTTCATGAGTTTATGATCTTGAAAATGGATCTTCTGGATTTTTTTTTAACTGTTCATATTATTTGCCTATATTGTTTTAATTACATTGAATTTTGCTGCAGAGAATATTTTATGCCTCATTTGTATGTATTATATTTGCACATATTATCTTTTTTTTTTTTTTTTTTTTTTTTTTTTTTTTTTTTTTTTTTTTTTTTTTTTTTTTTTTTTTTTTTTTTTTTTTTTTTTTTTGTGCCGGGGATCGAACTCAGGACCTTGCGCTTATGAGGCAGATGGTGGAACCAATGAGCTAAATCCCCAGCACCAAATTTCTTTCTTTTTTTTTTTTTTTCTGGTTTTTTTAAGAAAAAACATTGAGACATTGAGAGCTTTATTACTTTGTTTCTCTCTCTTTCAAGGGAATTGCCTTCAGAATTACAGGGAATTTTTGATAAAGAGGAGGTGGATGTTAAAGTCGAAGATAAGAAAACTGAAGTATGTATGTCCACAAAGCCTGCATTCCAGCCCTTCTCTGGGCAGGGGCACAGACTGGGAAGGTGAGTATGTGTGGACATCATCTGGGCTTTTTATAAGCAGAGAGATGGCTAATATTTAGGCCATCATTTTTTTAAAGTTTTTTGTTGTTTTTGTTTTGTTTGAGACAAGATCTTGCTATGTATCCCTGCCAACCTTGAACTCATCATGTAGCCCAGGTTGACCTCAAACTTTTGGCAGTCCTCCTGCCTCAGCCTCCCAAGTGCTGGGATTACAGGTGTGTTCTAACACGTCCAGTATAAACCATTATTATTTTATTCATGTAAACTACCATGTGTAGAATTTATTTTTCCTGTTTCCAGTGAGATTTTTTTTTCAGTTTTTTGAGATAGGGTCTTGCTGTGTAGCCCAGGCTGGCCTTGAACTTGCAGTGATCCTCCTGCCTCAGCTTCTGGAGTACTGGGATTGCAGGTGTGCCACCACATCTGGCACAAAAGAGATTTTTAAATGTTACTGTTTATGTGGATTCTTAAGTCATATTTACTTTTGTGGATATTAAGCCAGTAGTAATCATGGAAGCTTCATCTGTTTTATCAGATCAGAAAGGCCTAGCCTATCAATATCAAAGTCTGATTATTGGTGGTTTGGGGTTTGTTTTTGTTTTTGGTACCAGGGATCAAACTCAGGACCTTGCACTTGAAAGGCAGGCACAGTGCCACTGAGCTAAATCCCCAGACATTATTATTGGGTTTTTTTGAGACAGGATTTCACTGTGTAGCCCATGCTGGCCTCAAATTGTGGCGCTCCTCCTGCCTCAGCCTCCTGAGTGCTAGGATTACAGGAGTGCACCACCATTCCCAATTCAAAGCCTTTATTGTCATGTTTTTCTGTATTCTTCATACTTAACTGCCTTATGACAGAATATGGAGGTATGAGGTCATTTTGCTTTTTATGAATTCTCATATTTTAATTATCAAAATTGGCAAGGTACATACATTCATCCATATATATAAAAATATTGACATGTGCCTTTCAAAATACTTGGCTTCCTGTTTTCTTTTCTTCTTCTTCTTGTGTGTGTGTGGGGGGGGTACTGGAATCAAACTCAGGCCCTTGTGCTTGTGAGGCAACCAGTGGAACCACTGAGTCAGATCCCCAGCCTGAGTACTTATAATTTCTTTTAGAAATTTGTCCTGGGCAGTAATTAAAGCTAAAAGTATATAGCTCTGTCAACTGTTACAAAATTATTATGTAAAGAACTATTCAGGTGACACTAGGAAACTAAGAACTATTTACACAGCTCTCTAATCTTATAAATTAATTGAATATGCATAATTTTGTTAGATACTTAGACCCATGATATATTGTGGATGTTACCAATATCTCTGTGTTTTTATTGAGGAAATCGCTGTGACTTATAAAAATCTTAAAAGCTGTACTTGGGTGCCCACCTGTGGTGTGCTGTGGTGGAGCACATCTGTAATCCCAGCACTCAGGAGGCTAAGGTAGGAGGATCGCTGTGAGTTTGAGACCAGCCTGGGCTACATAGTGAGTTCCAGGTCAGTCTCAACTAGATAGTGAGACCCTGTCTCAAAAAACCAAAAAAAAAAAAGGTGTACTTGGTAAAAAATTTTTATAGTAATGGTAAAGCATGCATCTGACTTTATTGTCTGGATTTTCTCAGTGCCACACCAAAAATTGTTTCTAAAACAAAGACTGTTGAAGTTGAAAGCAAAAATAATTTGTCTGCTGTTGCACTGAATAACTTGGAGCCCATGACTAATATACAGATATGGCTAGCCAATGGGAAAAGGATCGTCCAGAAATTTAACATTTCTCATAGGTAAGTCCTCCGTTTCAGTATTTGTCTGATTTTTTTTTCAAAGCTTAAATTTTGTTTAAGTTCATTCACCAAGTGTGGTGGTGCAAGCCTTCGATCCCAGCACTCAGGAGGCTGTGGCAGGAAGGTCTCTGCAAGTTCGAGACCATCCCAGGCCACATAGTGAGCCCCTGTCTCAAAAATCAAAAGCAAATTTTTATGAAAGATAAAACACCAACTGTTCATCAACCTGATATTTCTGAGTGGTGGAATTAAATACTGACTTCATATTTTTCAGTAGCTTTTGTTTATATTGTTTTAGTTCAGTTAACAGAGAAGTAGACACATAATGCTGTTTTGTTGTTGTTGTTTGTTTTGGCACCAGGGATCAAACTCAGGACCTTGCACTTGAGATGCAGGTGGTGGAACCACTGAGCTAAATCCCCAGCCCTGTTGTTTTTGAGACAGTGTCTCACTATGTTACCCAAGCCAGCCTCAAACTTCTGAGCTCAAAACATCATCCTGCCTCAGCCTCCTGAGTAGCTAACATTTTGGACTAGCCTTGAACTTACTGTGTAGCACAGGCTGGCCTCGAACTCAGTCCTGCCTCTGCCTCTGGTGTGCTTGAGATCCTGGGCACGCACCTCCACACCCGCCTAGTAGAGAGCTCTTTACACCAGGCCAGGAGTGCTTGTCTGGCATTTGGAGGCCTAATATTCGAGCCCGAGCACTGCAAGCAAGAAAAAAGAAATTTCACGTCGGCGGCACACGGAGTGGTGGGACGGGCTACCTGAAACGGCCCAGCATGTTGGTGACCGAGCACAAATGGCTCAGCGGCCCCAGTCTGACCGAGCGCAGGACTTAAGTCGTCAGCTTCTGTTTCCCACTTCGTGGAAGTGCGTGGGTAACTCAATGAATGTTTGTGAAATGCAGTCTAAAAATACTCTTTCAAAAAATATAAAATAGAAATTCTAAGTGTTAAGAAAATATATTGTCACAGTCTGGATGTTAAAGTTTTAGTAATACCTAAAAGAATGACGTGTCTTTTTTTCAGTACCAGGGATGAACTCAGAACGAACCTTGTACTTGCAAGGCAGGCGGCTCCACTGAGCCACATTCCGGCCGATACTGATGGGTCTTAAAATGCATGGCAGCCTGACCTTGGTCCGCCGTGCAGTGCCCCCTCTGAGTAGTGATATAATGTCGGGCGACTTCAAGCTGCAGCAATTCTGTTCATTCTAGTGGTTAACACTGCTCCTTCTTCCTGAAGTCCTGCCTGTGCTGTATTAAAAATTATAATTGGGAGCCAGGATGTAGCTCAGTGGCACCGCGCCTGCCTTGCAAGTGCAAGGTCTTGAGTTCGATCTCCAGTACTAGGAAAAAAATACCTAATTGGAGTTGAAGTGCAGCATAACCTGGTATTTAGGAGACACCCCGAGTCTGTACGGCAGTCAGTTGGTCCTTTCTGTGGTGTTCAGAGCTGGATTTGTAAATGTCCATTATAGGAGGTCTCACAATGGGCATGGTAGCTCTCACCTATAATCCCAGCACTCAGGGAGACTGAGTCATGAGGATCCCTGTGAGTTCCAGCCCAGCCAGGGCACCACAGCAGTTTAAAAAGACCTTGGCTCAAAAATTTTAAAAAATTTTAAAAGGGGCTGGAGATCTATCTCAGTCCGAAGGCCCTGGGTTCAGTCCACAGTATACCTCTCTCCCCATAAAAGGGGTTGCCCGTAATCAGATAGGACTTGTGTGGTGGCACACCTGTCATCCCAGCACTCGGAAGGCTGAGGCAGGAGGATCCCTGTGAGTTCAAGTACAACCTGGGCTACATAGTAAGGTCATATGCAGTCTGAACTGAATAGGGAGACCTTACCTAGAAAAACACCCAAATGCTCAGGTAGACCTTCCAGTGACTTGACGGCTTTGTTCTCTAACATACCCAGAGACCTTTCCGAGCACTGCCTTCGCAAGGGATCACTTTAACTAGCTAACCAAGTTTCCCAGAGTTATATGAGAAGTCTGCTGTCTTACAGGGTTAGCCACATCAGAGACTTCATTGAGAAACACCACGGCTCTCCGAGCAGCCCGCCCTTCGCCCTGGCGACAGCGCTGCCTCTCCTCAGGTCGCTGGATGAGACGCTCACTCTGGAAGAAGCAGATCTACGGAACGCCGTGATCATTCAGAGACTCAGGAGCACTGCCCAGCCCTTTAGAGAGCTTCCCTAGCAGTTTGGAGCCTGCAGACGCAGAGACGTGGATGCAAGTGGGTGCACAGAACTGGGCGACTTGTGATGTAGTAGGCACGGTGTCGCTGAGCTGGATCCCCAGCTGACCTGTGCTCCTTAGTTCTCTCCTGGTGTGGAGATGTTTTTCTCTCAGTACCAGGGATCAAACTGAGGACCTTGGGCTTGCAAGGCAGGCGCGGTGATGCTGAGCTAATTCCGGGACAACAAGGGGATTGCTAATAATTAAAAGTTAGGAAAGTAACATATGGCTGGAAGCTGTATTTGTCACTTTTTTCCAAAAGGCTACTCAGAAAAAAAATAACATAAAATATATTAACTGTATCTTTTAGAATCTTACCATGGGCTGGCCATGGTGGTGCACACCTGTAATCCCAGCACTTGGGAGGCTGAGGCAGGAGGATCGCTGTAAATTTGAGGCCACCCTGGGCTAGCTACATAGTGAGTTCAGGGACATCCAGAACTACATAGCGAGACCCTGTCTCAAACAAGAGAGTCTTAATATAAGTTAATAAAAATGTTCACAGCATTAGTTAAACGTCATTTCCAAGGAACAGGTATTTATTTAAGTTTTAGCTATCTCAGAAATTTTAAATAGCAATACATTAAAAATTACAATTGCAAGTTGAAAGCATCATGTAATTGCTTTGTGCCCCCATGGAATCAGAAGTCTGGGGTGAGCTGGGCATGGTGGCGCAAACCTGTCCTGTGAGTTCAAGGCCAGCCTGGGTCAGCCAGGCCCTTCTCAAGACAAGAGAAAACCCTAAGATAATGAACGACCGTCCTCACCACAGCTGTGTCTGAACCTCCGCGCGTTCCCAGCTTTCCCTCCGCTGGGACGATTTACTTAGACATCTATGGCACTGGTGAAACTGCAGTTTAGGATGGTGTCGATATTTATCTGCCTACCGCCTCTCTGACCCTCCTAGATGTAAAAACAGTTCTCTTCAGGGGCCCAGTCCATTCTCTTTGCCTCGACACCCCAGAATCAGAGGTGTTTTTGGCTAACGTTGGGATGAGTCATTCGTTTTCTACCACTCTTAGAATGTGAGCGTTGACCTCGGTGTTCATTAGGGTATTGGCTGAGACATCCTGATACCATCGGGGTGCGTGCTTCGTGTGTCAGACGTTTAACAACCTGTCAGACCTAAGTGTTCCAGTTTGAGTAAATCTCTGTTCCTAGCTGGGGACAGGGACGCACACCTGTCATCCCAGCATATTTGGGAGGCTCAGGCAGGAGGATCACGGTGAGTTCGAGGCCAGCCTGAACTTTTAAGTGAGACCCTGTCTCAAAAAAAAAACCTTTCTTAGAAATAAGCTTAAGGAGCTATTTTACAACTTATCTCAATCACAGGGCCGGGGATTTACCTCAGCGGCACGGTGCCTGCTGAGGTGCAGGGTCCTGAGTTTGATCCCCAGTATGAAGGAAACCAAAACAAAATGAAGGTAAAGCATACATTGAGTGTGCCAACGATTGCACGGTCCACTGTTCACAGGGTGGTGTGTGTATGCTGTAAGTTTGGGGGCTCGAATCCTTTCCTGTGGGTTACAGATATATGCAACACTCAAGGTTCTGAGATAATGTACTTACTTCAGAGTAGTCCCTTCTGAGCCGGGCGTGAAGGCTTGTGCCTGCAGTCCTCGCTGCGTGGGGCGACACAGCAAGACCCCGTCCCTCAGTAACACACCTTGCTTCACGAACTCAGTTCTTGCCGTGATGCTGGTCACAAACTGAACTGGGTGAGGACCAGGTCAGCTTTCCCTATAAGGCCAACACCGCTGGATTTGATTCATTCTTCCCCCAGCTCTTTGCAACCAGAATTGTGGAAAGAATCCAATTCGTGAACCGAGGTACCACTATACTTCCAAAACAAAGAGATCCAATAGGAAAAGCGGCGTTGTATTTCTTTTCCTGCCAATGTCTTTATAGTCTGACATAAGTGCAGCTGGGTTTTTACCTGCTGCTGTATTCGCTGTGTGGCAGTGTCACGTGTCCTGTAGCCCCTAGAAGACACCGTTAAACTACACTCAAGAGAGAAAGAAGTGTGTTACCGCTGTATTGCTGTGAAGAGGGCAGGGACCCTCCAGGCCTTTGAAGGCCTGAGAGAGAAGTGCTTGGCAAACTTCAAAAATACCTGTTCCTGGGCTGGGAATCTAGCTCAGTGGTGCCACTGCCTGCCTGGAAAGTTAAAAGTCCCAAGTTCAGTCACCAGTACAAAAAAGTTTTTTCCTCCACCTATCACAGACATTCCACCCGCTGTATCTGGACCAGGTCCAGATGTTCGATGGCCCTCTGGATGTGTTGGAGGCCTGTGCTCCGCCCTGTCTCTGGCTGCTACCGCAGCGGATCCGGTTTCCCTTAGGCCTGACTCAACCTTGACGTTGCCAGTGCTGTCCGTAGCACACATGAGGTGGGGATGTGACATTTGGGGATCACAAGGGAGCTACACGACTGGGTGAGCCGACACACCCCTCTCAGGGTGCTTTCTCTGCTGGCTCCCCGACGTCTACATGGCAGACTGGGAAGAGGCAGGACAGAGCGAGCCTCTTCCCTTGTCCGGCACCTAGGAAGTGATGTACATCACAGAACACATTTATTGTTGGTTTTGGTAACATAGCAGTGTCAGCCCTCTATTGAAGCGGAAACAGTGACATTCTTAAAAAATGGATAATCAATGAATTTTCAGATACAGAAAATAGCTTATATGTTCAGAAATCTACAATAATGTTTCATCGGGGCCAGGGATTTGGCTCAGTGGTTCCGGCACCTGCTTTGCAAGCTCAAGGGCCCGAGTTTGATCCCCGGTACCAAAAAAAAAAAAAAAAAAAAAAGTTTCATCTACACCTATCACAAAGCATTTTATTTGCATAATTATAATCAGTCTGGTTCTCCCTATTTTGCTCTAATGGACATCTCTTATGAATATTTCTGATATACAGACAGAAAAGCCTTTGTTGCCAGAAAAGTCTCCTTTGGTACATGTCTAACTCCAGCACTCAGGAGGCTAAGGCAGGAGGATCACTGTGAGTTTGAGGCCAGCCTGGGCTACATAGTTCAGAGCCAGCTGAACTACATAGCATGAAGTCTGAATATCAAAAACCTCCTTTGCAGATTTTCCAGTTCCCCGTGAGCCAGAAGACACAGAAGGTTTCTTGTGCATTTAAAATAATACACCCCAGGCTGGGCATGGTGGTGCACACCTGTAATCCCAGCACTTGGGAGGCTGAGGCAGGAAGATCGCTGTGAGTTCGAGAATAGCCTGAGCTACATAGTGAGTTCCAGGTCAGTCTCAACTACATAGTGAGACCCTGTCTCAAAAAACCAAAAAAAAAGAAAAATAAAATAATAATAATAATACACCCCACTGAGGGGCCCCACAGAGAAAGACCTGTCATCAGCAATAACCATCTTTTTAACTGAGAAAACTTTTGTTAATGTGACTGATAGAAGCTGTTTACTTGAGGCTGGGCATGGTGGTGCACACCTGTAATCCCAGCAGGAGGGTTGTGGAGATTGAAGCCAGCCTGAACTATGTACTGTGTAGCAGGACCCTGTCTTAAAAAAAAAAGAAAAAGAAAAGCTGTTTACTTGAAAGTTGTGATGGAAACACATAGAATACGCAGTACACAGGCTGAGGATTTGGCTCAGTGGTTCCGATGTCTGCCTGGCAAGCAAGATCCCCAGTACCACAAACACAAAAAAAGAATGTGCAGTACACAGTGACCTTGGCAACCATGAACTGAATTTGCCAAGGGAAAAGAAAACTTGAAAATAAGCAAACGTTTTAGGTGTGGGATACAATTTGACCTAAGCAATGGTTTACTCATTAAGTAATTAGCACATTTTTAATATTGCAGATTCTGACGTACTAAATTACTGTGCATTACCAAAACAAAATAATCACTGCTCTGTACTCACGATGCTTCAGTGTCTCGATGTGCTTTGATACATGCATTTATTTCAGTGCCTTATTTAGATGCAGTATTTTGCTAATGGTTGAAGAACTTCTCTCAAGGATGACATACTCATTAAAAGGATCTGAAATAATTTATATTTACAGCTACATGTGGGTATATTTGCCAGTTTTATTTGGCTCGGGTGAGAATCGACATATTTATTAGGTGTTTTTGTTTTAACCAACATTACCTTCATTTACTACTCAGAAATGTGATATTTTTAGTGCCAGCTTCTGTGGTGGTTTGTACTTTAAATCGTCCTTTTTATCCTGAGTTGAACCAGTGTGAAGACTTGCTAGTTGGTAAGGGTTATTCCTTTGTTCTGCCTTCCAGAGCACAAACCACAGTTTAAAAACGGTCATCATACTAAATCCTCAAGTAGAAGTGGCTTGTTTAATACTGAGATTTGACTCTTTGTCATCTGTTGTAAAGGTATTTTTTGTGTATGAAATCATACTAGAAATTTCTAAAATGCAGATATACCAACAGGATCTAAATCACCAGTAATGCCGGGCGTGGGAGGCTGAGGCAGGAGGATCACTGTGAGTTCAAGACCAGCCTGGGCTACAAAGTGAGTTCCAGGTCAGTCTCAACTACATAGTGAAACTCTGTTTCAAAAATAAAAAACCACAAATAAATCACTGATAACCCCATGTCAGTGTCCGCCCTGTGGCTGTTAACGGGTGCCTGCTGTGGTGGGGGACGTTGGGTCCCTGGGGCTGTCTCTCTGCAGGGGATGGTACTGGGAGGCTGGGGGTGGTGCACACCTGTGACCCCAACACTCGGGCATGAGTCCGAGGCCAGCCTGGGCAACACAGTGAGACTGTGTCTCAAAAGTACTAAATGTAGGGTCAGGGAGTTAGCTCAGTGATGCTGCCGCCTGCCTTGCAAGTGCAAGGTCCCGAGTTCCGATTCCCAGTACCAAAAAAAAAAAAAGCTAAATATAGATAGAGGGTTCTGGGGCCTTTCTGCCCTTCTGTCTTCCTATCTTCCTCCCACAATGTTCGCTGTCTCGTGCAGGCCTAGAAGCATCAGGCCAGCCACACAGGCACCCCAAAGCCGCAAGCCAAGGAAACCAAACGTCAGCCTCTGCCGGAGCCCTTGTTACAGTGACGGAAGCTAACAGTGTCCGTCTGTAGTTCTCGTAAAAGGCAGGACCGGGAGTTTGGCTCGCAAGTGCAAGGGCCTGAGATCGATCCCCAATACTGAAAACGAAGGCAGTTGACTCAGTTACTTTAATCCTGCTGTTTTGTCCAAATTCATTGAAATTAATTTATCTGTCTTGGTGTGTTTCTTTAGTGTGGCTACGATCACTTTAAGTAGAACAGTAGCTTTGAAGGAAAATGCTTTTGTTTTACTCTGTCAGACTTACCGCTCTGCAGTCCCAGCAGTCTGACCTGAGTGCACCGCAGGACACTGGACCTCAGCCTGTGAGGCCACAGCAGGGCATCGCCTGAGACCAACCCGGCGGTGCAGTAAGACCCTGTATCAAAAAGAGGAGAAAAACAGCTGTGTAAGTTTTTGGAAGTGCTGAGTCAGTGGTTTTCAGCATAGTATATTTTCCGAGTGGCATAACCAGCGCCACCGTCTACTTGAAGCCAACTTTCCACCCCTCTGAAACCCTGTACCCACTGGGAAGCTCACCCCGCCCAGCCCCAGGCAACCGGGTCTGTGGCTAACGGCCTGCTGTGGACATCGCAAACAGCCGTCCAGTACGTGGTCTCCCGTGAGTGGCTGTTTGCGAGGCTCCTCGATCTGCTGCCCAGGGACAGCCCGCGGTGAGCTCAGTGCGTCTCGTGGGTCCTCTCACGACCGGGTTAATTCCACTCCTGGCTGTCCGGAGTAACTGGTGCGGACGTGTGCACATGGGAGTGGACGCTAACGTTCCGAGGGACGGCCGGGCTCCCGGGCTCCCGAAGGCTTGCGGTAGTTCCCTTCCCACAGCAGCTTGGGAGGGGCCCGCGTCCTCCCAGCACCTGTCCCAGCTGGACTGTGCCGCCCCAGCAGCCCTGGTGGATGTCCTGAGGGTTGCTGCCCTGAGGATGTGAGCGTGGTCCTGCTTGTTGTCCGCATGTACCATACTTTTAGAGAGATGTTGAGTCCTTCGCCCATTTTCAAATTAGTACTTTTGTACTGAGCGTTATTTACGTATCCCAATAAAAACCTCTTCAGGTCTCCTGTGGGTTGTCTTTTCCCTTGTTGGAGTGAGTGAGCTGCGCGAGTAATCGGAGCAGTCTGAGGGGGAGGCAAGAGGAGCCCAAGTTTGAGTCCTGCTGAGCACTAAAAGGGGCTGTGTAGCTCAGTGTGCAGCACTGAGTCCAATCCCCAGTATGGCAAAGGAAAAGCAAAAATATATTCCCGGCACAGTTTTTTGTGTGCGACTGGAGATTTAACCCAGGGTCTCGTCACTAAGCTATATTCCCAGCCATGTTTTTACATTTTGAGACAGGGTCTGGCTAAGCTGCTGAACTGCCACCCTCCCGCCTCAGCCTCCCACAGTATTGGGTGACAGGCGAGCCGGAGCCGACTGGGAAGAATGGGACCTGTCAGAGCTCCCAGGGCAACTGGAGGAGCCCCAGGCGCGACAGCCGCTGTCCTGCGAGCTCAGCCGCGGCCCTTGCCGATGCTGTGCTTCCATTTCCGCGTCCGCCGGGCAGAGGCAGAGCCGGTTTCCCATCCCCACCTACCCGGCGCTTCCCAAATAAAGGCCCGCTCCGTCCCTGGTTGGAGGCGAGAGCCTTCTGAGACTGCGGCGCCTGCTCTGCTCCCCGTAGTCCAGTCCGTGCTCCCGCCCCCCAGGAGCACCGCCTGCGGTGGACACTTGGTCCTTCTGCTTCGATCTCACATTGTTCTAACCGGGGATCGAGCTCCGGACCTTGCGCTTTCCCGGCAGACGCGGCCTCCGCCGTGGGCTTTGCAGGCTCGGCTGTGACCCCCGCCCTGCCTGCGGGCCTGGGCGTGTCCGTCAGG